AATAGCACTAGAAATTATGGGCCTCCTTCAGGGTGTGTCTCTGCTGTCACAGTAGGCAGCATAGGAATCCCTGTGCATATACAAGTCAATGAGTCTCAGCAAGCCAGCAGCAGACCAAATACAGTGGTCTGATGTGCCTTTATTGTAGAGGTTCTCTTCACTTTTCTGCTGAGCTTCAGTTTTCTTCCAGGAGCCTGGGAAGCCCTCTTTCTGTTACTAACTTCTGCTCTATCTTGTGGTGCTCAGGACAATCTTCGTTATAATCTCCTGTACCTCTGTAGTGTGGGACCAGGTAGCAGAAAAACCAGAAGGTAGACAGTGCAAGGGGAAGGGGGCCGGGGAAGAACGGGACGGGGACATGGAACACTGAGCAGTGGAGGCGGCCACGCAGCTAAGCTGACCTCACCTTGCCCGGGGCATGGACCGGGACTGCATCAGGAGCTTGAAACTGCTTATCCTGTATCACCTGGCCTGGACAGCCACAGGAGCTTGAAGCTGCTTGTCCTATCTCACCCTGCCAGTTGCTGAAGCTTAGGGAGCATCAGGACGGGTGGGGCTGCAAGAGGCCTCTGCTACCTCACCATGTCCTGGGCATGGCCCGAGAGGGCCTAAGGAGCTTGAATTGAAGCTGCTTGGCCTGTCTGGCCCGGCCTGCAGAGCATCAGGAGCTTCAAGATAATTGTCCTGTCTCACTGGGATGGTTGTGGCAGCCTAGGGAGCCTGGGGTGGGGGTGGGGCTGCAAGATGCCTCTGCCACCTCACCATGCCCTGGGCATGGCCAGGGAGGGCCTCAGGAGCTTCAAGCTGCTTGTCCTGTCTCACCAGGCTGGGACGACCGCAGGAACTTGAAGCTGCTTGTCCTGTCTCACAGGGCCATGATGTCCCCAGGAGCTTGAAGCTGCTTGTCTTGTCTCACTGGGCAGGTTGTGGCAGCATAGGGACCCTGGGGAGAGGGTGGGGCTGGAAGATACCTCTGCAAACTCACCATGCCCTGGGCATGGCCCAGGAGGGCCTCAGGAGCTTGAAGCTGCTTGTCCTGTGTCACCTGGCCTGGATGGCCTCAGGAGCTTCAGTCTGCTTCTCCTGTCTCAATGGGCTGTTTGTAGGAGCTTAGGGAGCCTGGGGTGGGGGTGGGGCTGCAAGATACTTCTGCCAACTCAGCATGCCCTGGGTGTGGCCCAGGAGGTCCTCAGGAGCTTGAACCTGCTTGTCCTGTCTCATCTGGACAGGAGGGACTCAGGATCTTGAAGCTGCTTGTCCTGTCTCACTGGGCCAGGAGGACCTCAAGAGCTTGAACCTGCTTTTCCTGTCTCATCTGGACAGGGGGGCCTCAGGAGCTTGAAGCTGCTTGTCCTGTCTCGCCTGGCCAGGATGGCCTCTGGAGCTTGAAGCTGCTTGTCCTGTCTCACCTGGCCTGGATGGCCTCAGGAGCTTGAACCTGCTTGTCCTGTCTCATCTGGCCAGGAGGGCCTCAGGATTTTGAAGCTGCTTGTCCTGTCTCACAGGGCCTGGAGGACCTCAGGAGCTTGAAACTGCTTTTCCTGTCTCATCTGGACAGGAGGGCCTCAGGAGCTTGAAGCTGCTTGTCCTGTCTCACCTGTCTAGGATGGGGCCCCATGAGGTTGAAGCTGCTTGTCCAGTCTCGCCTGGCCAAGATGGCATGAGGATCTTGAAGCTGCTTGTCCTGTATTACCTGGCGTGGACGGTCTCAGGATCTTCGACCTGCTTTTCCTGTCTCATCTGGCCAGGAGGGCCTCAGGAGCTTGAAGATGCTTGTCCTGTCCCACTGGGTCAGGAGTCCCTCAGGAGCTTGAAGCTGCTTGTCCTGTCTCACTGTGCCCGGATGGCCATAGCGGCTTGAAGCTGCTTGTCCTGTCTCACCTGGCCTGGA